AATCAATTTCTAAACAGAGATCGAAGACATTAGATCATGTCGAAAAATTGCTTTTGCTTTGGATAACTGTAAAACAGTGCTGGAGATAGCGTATCGGAAGCAATTATTTGCAAGAAAGCTAAAAAGATACATGCTGATCCCACGAAAAATCAAGCAGGAACTAGCCAGGAAAGCGAGGTGTTTAAAGCCAGCCATTTTTTTTACACGAGAATGGATTAATCATTTTTACATTACTTCTTATGGGAAAGGTTGGTTTGGTATACATCCAATTCAATATAAGTCCAAACATTGGGAACGGATTAAGGTCGTATACCGAGGTTCCACTGTATTTGTATAAATTTGAATTCACATCACAAAGATACTCTGTTGGTTAAAATTAAAATTTATATATTTTTTTCAGTGCATTTTATCTTCAAAAATCAATTTCATCAACGTAAGGTTAGTGTGTTCATTATTATTTTCCTAAACATTAATAATTTGAGGACATTATCTGTTCGGCTTGCTCAGCTATTCAGGTACTGTAGGTGTATAATATTGCTTCTTTAAAAAAGAATATAAATTTGCATTTCTACTCTTTGAAAGGCAAAATTTTTAATTTGACAGCAAGAGTAAGATTGTTTTTGGCCTTACTTTTGCTATAAAATTAAAAATTTTGCTGTTTTTTTTGTTAAATCTCTACCAGAAATAAAAAGTTAAAAAGATAAAAACAGCAGTTTTTAAACTTCACTGTTTTTATATCTTTATAGTCATCAACTATATATTTAAAACTTTCTATAGAATGTATAGAAATATAAATATGCCCTGTTTCAATTATTTAATTGAGGTGTCTCTAAAAAATTATTTTTCTACACAATATTACATTGATTTAGTATATCCTTAGCCATACTTTTTTCACTAGGAACAGTTTTCTTTGTCTCACAACTTCAAAAGTTATCAAATTACTTTTGCACATATTCACTAAAGAAATGAACTAGGAAATCATCCTTATTCATAAAATAGTTCATAAAATTTAGTTGTCACATTTCATATCAATTTTTAAACACGTCATTTTATTCATTCATGTATATTAAAATTTAACCAAAACATATTGTGTAAATAAATATTTTTGCTATAAAAAACATTGTCAGATTTTATAAATTAAATCAAGTTGTCAGATTTTATAAAGTATAAAAATGAATTAAGAATTAGAAATAGAATTAGTTGCCATCTTGTAAAATTAATTTATTAATTTTTATGTAACTAATAAATAATCTAATAAAATCTGATACTTTGATTATTAATGTTTCTACTTTTTATTTGTTTTTTTTTATATAGAGAATCCAGCCTCCATTCATGGATTCCCTCCCACCAATTTGTTGTACCAAACTGAAACAGCTAAATATCTTAGCAAAAATCAAACTTTAATCACACTTGTTCGTGTTAAGGTAGAAACTCAATCCTATACAGTTAACGAGATTCTTCTTATCCTTCCTTGCCCACTTTCAAACTCCACCACTTCTCTCTTCATTAACTCTGCCATCCTAACACTTCTACTCTGATTCTCCTTCTTCAACTCTTTTCCTTTTCTCCCTGTTTTTTCCACTTTTTCTCTCCCTCCTTTTTTTATGACTCTTTGTCTACCCTTGTTTGTTACTTTCTCCCTTTTTACAATCCTTTGTCTTCTCTTGTTAATTACTTTCACAACTGCATGTAGAAGATGGATATGGGCTGACAAGACTGCAGTAGGGGAAGAGTTGGTTCAATATCATTACATTTTATATAAAATAAAACTATAAAAACAATTATATTTTTTCCTATTAAATCAAATTTATAAGAATATATACTATATTATTATTATGTATATTTTTTGTTATATCCAATATAAACAAACAGCAAAAAGCCTTAGCTAAAGCTTGCTTTTCATAGTATTTAAGATCACTCAGCAAAATATATGAGAAACAGAGATAAATAAGTATTAAAAAACACAAATGTACTGTTTTCAATACTGCTTATCAATTATAAAATATCTCTCTGTGTAAAATATATTCTAAAGTGTACTTTAAGTTTTCATATTTTCAAATAAATCAAATGTTATAATAATTCATCAAAACTTGGCCATAGAGAAAATATGCAGTTTTCTTTCTGAATTAAAATTTAATATTGAAAAAAGAAAAAATATCAAAATACTAATTAATTTAATTATGTAAAAAACAGTGTATTATAATAAACTTGAAAACTCAGGCATTTAAAATCTTAGATTTCTGAAAGAATAAAGTCATATGAAATATTTTAATTTTAATATCACCACTGAAAACATATTAGTTAAACTATATTTTGTCTTCTCTCAGTACAGCATGCAGAAATTTAACAAGGGAATGCAACTGAAAAGATTATTAGAGTTAAATTATATAAATTAAATATCCAATGTTGTTTAAATAAAACTGCAACACAAAAATACACAAATTCTTTGTTATATATGTTATTGTAAGTGACTGGTTTACAGCAATGACATTTATTGTATAAATAATAACATGAAATCACTGACAAATCATATATACAAGTTTGAATCATTAGTTTCATATGACTATGAAAGGGAAAATCGTATTTTATTACATTACTAAATATTTGAAAACAATGGGTTCTACAATTTAAATTTATACTTAAGTGGTGAATGGCATTAGTTTACTTTTACATTTACATGTAAACAAATTTCAATTGTTAAAGAATGAATATTACTAGCAGGATTCAATTGCTCCCTTGCATCTCATGGCTGTACCACTATCTTCTCTTATATACTACATCAAAATCTACATTAATATAAATTCCTTTAACTTAGCAATTTTATTAAGATGTGGTTCAAAAATAATAAAATGTATTTAAGTTTTTAAAACAAATAGCTTATCAAAACAGGGCTAAATGAGATTGGCTTATCACATCAGGACAAGACGGAAAAGAAACTCAAGTTATTCAAATAAAAGTTTTATTAGTATAGAAATGCATTTCAGACCCCTCATCAACCTATTCAAAGAGTAGGCAGATGGCAGTAAACACAATGAACCACTAAATTATTGTAGCAAAACAAAGTTTACAGAATGATAATAAATAACTCAGTGCATTGTGTATACAAATACATAAACTATTAAATTAATGCTAATTAAATTGTACTATACAATAATAAAAACTCATCAATGGCTGTAGTTAGTTTTGAACTGATATTTGTATTTGGAGCTAAAAGCATACTTAATTTAGTCAATTAAGTTTTCAGTAACACTGATTCCAATAGTTTTCTTAATACTTAACTATAAGAAAAGAAGATAATACATTACAGCCAAACAATTGTCAGATTAGATCAGGCTATATTACTGTTACTATTAATAATCAAAGAAGATAATACAAAAATAAATTTTATTTTAAAATCTATCTAATTAGCTCTATAAACTATTCACTGTTGTTTAAAATATTTATTTCTTTTTAAGTGAAATTTAGTAATACTGTGTATGTATGTATGTATGTATATATATATGAAAACTGCATATTACATTTTCAAGAAATTACAAGCTACTTGCTTTCATATTCTTATTTCACTAACACTAAAGAAGATAAATTTTATTAAACATTCCAAGAAACAGATTTGCTTTTGGTATTCATTAAATGATTTATAATTTATTCAATATTTAGTCTATAATCCTATCATTGTACAAGATTCAATTATTTAGGAATAAAAATATTTTAAAGTATGATAATAATGCAACACAAAGTAATAAAAAAAATGTAATACTTTATTATGTTAAATTACTGCAATCAAAATTTTATTCATATTTCTTATTAATATTATTACACATCATCACTAATATTTTTCAATTAATTGCACTATATTTTATTAATTGTTTTAATAAATTTCCATCTCTATCTTTAGATACATACAGGATTACAGGTAAATTATTATTTACACTCAATTTTAGGAATACGTACGATCATTTTCTTATGATTTGTTTACTCATTTCAGAGAATAGAAATTAATTTTTATAAATATGTTTAATTAAAAATTTAGCATAAATTCTAAATAAATAAATGCTAGTGGCAATGCATAATAAAATCAAAATACAAAGAAATCTTATCACTTTAATTTATAAAATTTATATTTAATAAAATTCATATAAACAAAAAGACCACCTTCCAATATTAATTATTAAACATTGCATGATATTTTTCTGCACAAACTTTTATCACATTCTAACATCACGTTGATTCATGTTAAGTGTGTATTTGTTAAGCACATCATTTATTTAATTAGAATTTATCACTACTTCACTAATAGTTCACTAAGTTAAACTGTACCCAATTTATAACTGAAGTATCAATAACAGTAATGAAGTAAGAATTAATGCAAGAATTTAAAATATAAACTAAAACAGAAATAATAATAATAATAGTAATTATTATTATTAATGTCATATATATCTGCAACATGTCTGTCAGGTAAGATTGCAGATGTGAATCACCTTAAAGTTGGCTGATTTTCACAAAGGGTTGAATATAGATACGGTTCCTTTGACTTTTTTGCTCCCAAGGGCATGCCTACAGCTCTGTTAAGGTCCCAACAGTGTCGTTCACATCTGCAATCGTGCCTATCAATAAGTAGTAATTAATTCTTGAAGTCGATAAGTATCTATAATGGGCCTGTACATGATGAAGTATATGAAATATAAACTTAAAAAATCATGTAAACATTTCAAATTACACATAAAATTAACTATAAAACAACCTTACATTTGATCAGCATGAAATTAAATCATAAAATCTAATTTTAATGAAGGCATTTAAAGTAAATGGCTGCATCAGCTAAGATTTCCCATCATAAACATGAAAATTGAAGAGCTCATCAGTAATACTTACTGGAAAAAATTACGCATAAATTCGCTTTAATTCAAAAGAGTTATATTTTAATTGCTATTAAATTCTAATTTATAATTTATAAGTTAATACGTCTTTAAATTATTGTTAAAATTGAAGAGTCTCACCAGCCAAAAGATCAGGCTCCAAGCCAGAACCGAGATCTAAACCACAGACGACAAAATAATCAGCAAATCTTTTTTCATTCATCTTGAATCGCTTCACATCCTTTCTTTTATGCTTTTTATCTATGTATTAAAACCAATTTATAAGCTTTAAAGTTCGAAAAACTAACATCTGAATGATCGCTTCCATAGACCTTACGATGGCGACTGCACTTACTACACGTAAAAGTTGCCAACTCTTCCTCTCGTCTGTATATGTTAAAAATAACATGTACTAAAATTTTAAATACTGTATTATTTTTTTTAATTATTATATTTAAAGTTTTAATTTGAAATTTTATTAATTTTTATCACTAAATATATTAAAAATGAATAATAATAATTATTATACATTAAATTTTCTGTAGTGATTGGAAATATTTTATATTTTAATATTCGTCTAAATTTTTTTAATGTAAAATACCGAATTTTTTTAAATATGTATTTATATTTAATATTTTACTGTTATGATTCTTTACTTTTCTTCCAATGTTGACGCCTTGGATGACAACGTAGAAGCTTTTCATGCTTCTATAAATAAGGACGATGCCACACATTCGGTATTCGCGAATGCCGAATAGTTGCCTTCGCCGAAGTATTTGCCGAAATGTTTCTCATGTGGCAAGCACACTTGTACTGTACAATACATACATGTAATTATTTACCAAGCATCGGTTCGTTCTGGGAATAACGAGGATCTAGAAAATGGCCAATTTTCAAACAATAATTTGTGCCGCTGCTATAGTTATGAGTAGTTTATATCTGTTAATGAAAAATAAGCAAACCAATTTGGTTTATATATAGGGTTGCCATACGTCCCGTATATACGGGACTGTCACCGTATTTCACTACTCAGTCCCATATTACTATTTGTCCCGTTTTCTCCCTAAAGTCTTCGTGAGGCGGCCGGCGCGCGGCGGCGTCACGGAAATAGTACGTACTGTACTATTGCATATTTACAAGTAAGAAACATCGATATTGGCAACACTGAGATTCTATTCAACTAGTTTGTATATCTAAAAAAATTATTTAGAGAAAAATAATACCAACCAAAACTACAAAGCAACTATGAAATTGAGTATGGAAGAGAAATGGATGACTTTTTTGCAGATACAAAGCATATTGATCAGAAGTCGTGTCTAATAAAGCTACGCAAATACGTATTTGCCATTCCAGCCCACAATGCAAATGTGGAGAGAATATTTTCCCTAATGACAACTCAATGGTCGGACAAAAGAAACAGATTGTCAGTGAAGACAATTGAAGCAATTTTTGATTTATCATTATAATTTAAAAATGACTTGCGCCCAATTTTATAATTACTGTATGTGAAAGAAGAAAATAATATAATTAAGAAAGTAAAATCAACTTTAAATATGAATGGGCTAAAAAGGATTAGCCTTGCGTCTTTTTTATTATTCTACGTGTTGATTTTATTAGATTGCTTAAACTTTATTGATTTTTTATCACAGTAAAATAAATCATTACCTACCCACTTTTTTCATGTTTTATTTATTTAGCACTTAAATGAACGTCCCGTATCAATGCTTGGCAATTATAGCAACACTATTTATATATTTTGTCTGTCCTTACCTCACTTTTTAACGTTTCGCTTTACTTCGTTAAAACATTTAAACATTTTATAAACGACACCATTAATTAACGTTTTCTTTTTCTTTAATTTGGCAGCAGGATGTCTTTACCTGGATTACGTTTCATTAAAAAACCATTTCCATTTTGAAAATATTCAAAAACAAGAAAATACACGAATTTGTGGAGGCAAATATTCGTTCCCTTTGATTCGGCATAATTTACTGACAAGAAAACGGAAACAGCGAATACCGAATATTCGTCGTGAGTAAATCATTCACACCGCTCGTACTATTGTCACATTTATCAGCTAAAATAAATTTTAATATCCTTTTTCTGATGATTACTTGTATCGGGGATACAGAGAATTAATTGTGTTTGCTGTATACAACATAGAATCCAGCAATTGTGAAGACAGGATGCACATAGACTTTACATATAGAATGTTAATGCCAAATTTCGATATACAAATAAAGAAAGAAAAATTTTTTGAAATGTTTATGCCAGTTGGTAAAAAAGTAAATAGAACAAAATCAAGGCCATAAGAGTTCTGGAGGACAAACAAAGGATCAAAACACCTAGGAGTTTTCATGGGCGATCCGTCCCAGATACGTCAGATTTCGTCTTCACGATCCTACCGCTCCATTATGGGTCTGGTCGAACACATGATAGGCTTGAAAAAACCCTGTTGGCAATAAGAACAATGATTTTGATTTATGCATTTCGTTATAAAATGGTTTAATTTTGGTTTCGGTTCACCTAAATTACTGTGGTTCACAAGTTTGATTCATGAACTGGCTGGATTTTTCCAAAAAACACATATTATGATCAGAAAATATAATACATTTTCCATAACAGAATTAATTTTTATCAGAAATTTTTTCCTGCAGACAAAATCCTTGAATTCTCCAGAATTCAACATTATTTATGGCCAATCTTATTGAACGTGAAGGAAATATGAACTGAAATATATAATCAATTATAATCTGAACTAGTTCGATTGTAGATTTTTTCCACAATTGAACATATATATTGCAACAGGATTTTTGGCTCATTCTTTTATAATTTCAGGTTAGTGTGGCAAAGGGATACTATAGTCTCTCTTCCTTCAAAAAATAAAAATAAATAAATAAATAAATAATAATAAATAAAATAAAATAATAATAATAACAATTTTAATAGAAAACTCAATAGTAAATTTTATTTTTTAAAAATATTTTCAGTTTAAATATAATACAGATACAAATTCTTCGTTTTTTTAAGATTTTTTTTTTGTTCTACGACTGTCTTTACGACTGTTACCAGTGGCAAATCCAGGAAAAACATAAAAGGAAGAACACTACATATACTGTGTATAATAATACCTAATTAGGCTATATTACTACCTTACATTCTTTCCATATTTTATAGGTAATTACCAATTTTAAGGAAAGGTGTATAAACTTGGGTTACATATTAATTAATAAAAGCGTTGTGAATATATTAATTAAACGATTGGCATGTATTGTTGTGAGAAACAAAGGATATACGCGGATGCCTCTCCCTGAATATTCGGCTTAACCGCTATAGTCTAATTTGCTACCAAACCTAATTCCTGATTACGTCACTGATCTGATTAAAGCAACCAAAGAAAAAAAAATGCAATAGCGAGGTTGAGACCGAAGTTTTAAACGCGAAAACGTGTACGTTCAGCGCCGCTTTCCTGTAAGCCAGGGGTCGCCAAACTTTTTTAACCGTCGACCCCCAATCACTTTCCAAAGCCTCACATTGACCCCCACCGTAAAGTTTTCTTACAAGTGTATATGTATGAGCGAAAAAAAACGTTGTGGGTTGTGGTCTCTGTCTAAACAAAAAAAAAAATTGTGGCCCCTTAGCCGCATCGACCCCCTAATCGCGAGTTACGCAACAATTGTTGGTCTTAGCTACCTGAGAAAGTCTCCCATTACATTTTCTCGAAGGCAACACGACGCTCTCTCGTGAACTATTAATTAATTAACCTCTGCACGGCCGAAATCGTCCGTGAATATCACCAGAGACGGCCGAAAAGAGTTAGTCGCCGGTTTAGTCCTCGGAGAGGAAAGAAGTCGTCGCCCAAGAAATAGTCACCCATTTAATAGTCGCCCATAGGATAACCTTTTTTTGTGTGTGCGTTAGTGCACGATCGGCCTGGATAAGGCTCGATCGTCCAGTCAAAAGGGACATTTTGACTGGATATTTCACCCCTGGATACATCCTGAAAAAGCCCATAAGAAGAACTATTACCTTGTTCTCCGATTCAACACGACCCGACCTGGATATCTATTACCAAAAGTATTTATCACCACGCGAACCGTATGTGAACTCTCTTTCTCCGCGACAACATTTTATCCAATTTATTTTTAAATAAACCCTTGTTAATTGTTAAGTGTATCTGAGTCACTTCCACATGTTGTCTCTCCATCGGTTAACCTTACGAATCCGTCTGACCACGTACGGGACCGCTCGCGCGACGGTGTGACGTAATCGCCGTCTCGGCTTCCATGTTCCGTTAAACACGGTGGTGTCAATCCTGACAGGGCACCGAGGAGGTGCCGACCCGAAAGGTCACAAATCTGTACAGAGAAATACAGTGTAAGTTCAGAAATTAATTACGAAAATAAATTCAATCAAAATCTTTATTTAATATAAATATAATTTTAAATACGATACAGTATATTTATTTATTTATTTATTTATTTATTTATTAGTACAAGGTAATTGATAATATAGTTTTTGTACGTGTATATAAAAATAAAAATCATAATTTAAATGTACTTATGATTATTTCTTTGAATATAGAGTAAATATAAAATCAACATTAATTGATTTATGTTAATATAAAATTTGAAATCATAATACGGCTATAAAGATTGTAATTTTAAAAAATAATATTAAATTAAAATGTGGTTCAGTTATCCCAAATATTGTCTATCTCTAGAGGAATAAAATGTAAATTTCGTACAGCGGCCAACTGAGATCCGTGCAATACGAATCCAATACCATCTTTTTGATGGATTCGATTTTGCTTCAGGGTCTGACAGGGAAAAGCATCTCCTCTAGTTATCACAGCATGAAGACGCAAAGCATAAAGTTTTCCGGGTGACATCAGTAAGGGCGAAGAAAGGCTGGTCTGTGACAGGTGCCATTGTTCTACTAAAGCGCTATTTCTCCGATCATAATTATCTACCCATTGGCATTCTTGTTTGACCAATTCTGCTCCGTTTAGTTCTTCTGTGACTGATAGAAAAAAGCAACTGCTTAGTGAATTTCTTTCCACGAGGTCAAAAGAAAATCCAGTTAGATAGACAGCACGAGTAGTACTTATCAAGGCGCATAACAGGGTATTCTCCGACATTTCACAAATTTTTTCCCAACATCGAGGTTCTACTAGACATAATTTAGAAGAATAATTGAAAGCATCGGTGGAATAAAGAATTCTTTCTTTGCAAACTTCTTGTGGTTCTTCATGTTTCTTATCATGTTTTTTAGACGTAACTTGGACACGCGGTTTGTATCGCAAACGAAGACATAATGGAAGAGAAGCGATATCTTTAATATGCTGAACTCGGATATGATTTAGAAGATCGCCCAGTACTTCGCCGATCTGTTCTTCATCGATTATTTTTCCTAGTCGGCAACATTCTTTCTTACCCCATTTCCAGAGAGCTCTGAAGACTGCTTCTTCATTTACAACGTTTAAATCATCCAAGCTGAGAATGAGAGCTAAAACATCACGATTTAACTTGAGAAAAGAGCTGGAATTCAGAATCAAAAATGTAAATTTCTTAATTAATTCTAGACATTTTTCTTCAATAGATCTTAAACGAAAATTTCGGGCGGAGGTAATGACATCACAGGCATTTTGAATATTTATAAGGCCTGAAAGAGAACATTCGCAAATAGACATTAATTTATAAAGTTGATATTTCTGTGCTGCATATAGTAATTCCAGTGTGTCTTCTAATTCATTTAATGAGAGATTTCCAGTATAGATATAACTATAAAATATAATAAATCAGTATAAATATTTAATTTAAATAACTTATTATTATTGTATTTAACAGAATTTTGTACTGTACATACCATAACAGAGTTAGAACAGTTGATGGTTTGATATCCTCTATAACCAGTTCTTTGTATCCATTTTCGTTCAAAGCTGTAGCTTCTACCATTCTACACAGAGTATCTCCAGCTTGAGAAAGGATAAGACTATGAGCAGGAATTCTCCAGACGTCTCCTTTCACTGTGACTAAAATACGAACATCACTTTTGTATTCACTCAAATAGAGAGATTTTTGATTCTCCATATTTATGAGTTCAAAATTCTTTCTGCTGTTACTGAATAGAAGTTATTGGTATTGTTTGAATTTGTTGGAGAATTCTCTATATTTATAGTATGAATTTCATTTTTTTTGAACGGTTCGTCACAGAGATATGTTATCAAATTATTAGATCACTGATAAGATTTTATTTCACAATATTAAATATATTAATATTTTGGCACAGCGAAATAACGGTATTATTTTTGTTTATTAATAAATCTTTTGCAAATATTTAATTATAGGTATAACAAAATTAATATTCTGTTTATGTCATAAATATTTACGTGATAATTTGTCGATTTTAAAATTAAATAATGAAAATTAATATAATTTTAACTTTTCTCTCAACTTAAGCCTAACTTTAGGTGATAAATTTGATTTCAATTCGAACATTTTGCATATACGAATATAAGCGCTTGTATATTGGTAATTAGAATCATAAAATAAAATTTGCTGATTATGAAAAGTTATTAATTAAAGACAAAATGTCAGAATTAGATCTATTTTTTCAGTAAAAAAATTAAATACATTTATTTTTATTGGCAAAAAAGTTATACATCTACACGCAGTTTCTTGATTTGATGACCATTGAGAAAACAACTTCAATATTTCTTAATAAATCTGATTTTTCATAATAAATATATTTGCATGAATAGCGTTCTTCATAAATGGTAAATAGTAAAAATATCTTAGACGTTGGAAGTCGAGATCTGGAGAAAGAAATGCTACAAATTTGTTTATAAAATCCTTAACTTTTAATAATGTAAAAATAATTACTTTTAACTATTCTCACTATAGTGTTCTACTTTCGATTCTTTAGTATATCAGTAAATATTTCTGTTCTGATTAACCACGTAGTTATAACAAACCACACAATTGTAACTAAACCTTCCAAAATGTTATTTTTAATTCGTTTTTTTAATTTGTTTTGTTTCTTGGTTCCAAAATCTCCACATCAATAGACGTTAGGCATAATTTCTAACTCAAGAATTAATATGAATATTTAGATCTGTTTAATAATGAGAAATACAAATACTAATACTATTATTTTATCTTATCTGCTACTGTATTTGTCAATATGCAAAAGTACTTCGAAAATTTATTGATATTTTCAAGATAATCTTAATGATCCATTTTGTGCTTTGTTTAAAAAAAAAACTTTACAAGAATTTATTTGCAGCCATCATCAGTTCGGGTAGGTTCACAATGGAATTCGGAGCAGGATTGATGGGATAGGGCAACGTAACAACACATGACGATCTGCCAAGAATGGTGCCTCCCAGGAGGACTTTTTATGGGGAAACTAGTCTCTATTTAGGTTTTAAACAAGTGAAGAAAACTAGGAAAACTCCAAATGGCCAGTTCGTTGTGAAGCATGAACCCGAGACCAGCTATCAGTTTTCAACGGTTTTATCCACTAGGCCGCTCACAATGGGAGCAGCTAATAATGAGGGACGGATCATCAAACGACCATGAAAATTTCCGAAAATCCGACTCAAATTCGAACCGAGATCTCTTATAACAGAAAGTTGCTGTTATCATTTCGGCTATCCGGTTGTCGACTCAGCATGTTAACATTGATTAGGATCGCATCTTTACGTAAGCTGTATCAAAGAGCAGCAGGGCTGTTTGGCCTGTTCCCCGATCTACGAAATCCTAAAAAATATTTATTACAAATTATTCATTTCATTGCATTTCTTGTATAAGAAAAAATTTTTATCAAATAAATAATATAAAACAATTTTTAACGCTTTTTAATATACTGGAGGCCTGAAAAAGGTAAGCGATCTGCAACTCTCAGAGGTCAAGAGAACTTCACGCCACTTACCTTCAACCCGTTTTCATAAAATTCTGATCAAAGCATGTTTGAAATTTTATAGTAAATGATTAAATATCTAATTTCTAATCATTTAAAATAAACCTTTTTTGTTTTAATATTAACAATTAAAAATACGCACAAATATTATAAAATTAATTGCCTTATTATTTAAGAAACTTTTTTGTCCTGTTATTGAATCTACTTTTAATCAATTTTCAATAGTTTGTTTCTAAGTGTCTTTATCAATCCTCATTTTTAGTAGGAAACAACCAATAAAAGAAAACAGTAATAATAAAATTAATTACGGTAGGCTATGTTATTATCTCCAGTTTACTTTAAGATAACTTATATCTATTGATACAAGCTATAATCTTTATTTCAATGTTTATAAAATTTTTAATATTTTTTTGAACAAATGTTTATATTTTTCCTGCTGATCTTCCACTATAGAAGCAGGCCCTATCGCCGATACCATTTAAGGCTATTAGGTATTGTATGTGTACAGTTTAAAGGAAGGAAGAGGGGAAAGGAAGGATCGCGAAATATTTTACGTGGACTTTTTAATAGTATTAAAGGTGAATTTATTCTTATTATCCTACTTACTAGTCGTGTGATTAAACTATCAGTTAGAAAATATTTGCCAAATTTTTTAGTCATTTTTTCATTGTCAGGGGTTCATGAACTATTTCACACGTAATTAAATGGGAAGGGTTTGCCAAAAGTTTATTATTGGAGGAAGGAGGTCAAAAGCGACACAAAATTGTAAACAATTGTACAAAACTGTAATTAATTAAATTAATTAAAAATTAATGAACTGTCTCTTTGGATCAGTGTCATTTACATTAGCATTTACATTTACATTATCAGCTTTAAAACATATTTTACATTTCTTGTAGGCCTATATTTAAAAAAATAATCTTGTTTTTAACTGAATTTTATTATTTGAAATACAGCATACAGTTTTAATATATTAAGGATCTCAAGTAGTTAAACAGTAGGATGGATCTGTCCATTTCAATTACAGAAAAGAATAAGGTACTGTGAAATGAACGATGAGTAAATTTGGATAATTATAAACAATGTTATTTAATTTACAAATAACTTATAATACCCTGTTTATGTATAAATCATTGTAAAATTATTATAAACTATTTAACAGTTAAGAAATGGCGTACGAGTAAGAAGAGCAACGGGCAAGTGCCTGCTGTCCTTCCAAATTTGGGCAAAGCAAGTACAAAAAAAAAAAAAAACACACACACAGAGAAAGCAAAAAGATAAACAAATTATCAATGATTGCAAATTAAAAATTAATGCTTATGTTTTTATTTGTATAAAATTTTGAGCAAATCAACAACTCCCTCTCCTTAATCAAAGTGTACCGATATGCCCATAGATAAGAAACAATTCACAGTAAAAATTAGTCGTCATTTATTTTATTATATTTTAAATGAATTTTGTTTTAAATACAACAATTGTAGGCCTATAAAAATATTTACAGCTGAATATAGCTTTTTATAGCCTAATTGGTTCCTGGAAAATCGTTGTTAAGTGAGCCTTTGTAAATCGAATTCTGGTTTTTCATAGGCTCAATATCAGAAATTCAGATTAAGTTCTTGCAAAATGACAGTTATAACATTATAATTTCAAACATATGTAATAAAAGAAAGTACTGTACTTCAATACGATATTTCACACAGTTATAATAAAAACTCACATGTCTACAATTAGTATAATTCGTAAAAGCGAGGATCGTAGTTAGTTGTAAATCGAAAATCCCCTACGTGGTGTTTTGTAAATTAAAATATAAACATTTAAAATTATGTATTAGACAAAGTCATTTATTTGAAAAAATACTTAATTTAATATATTAAATTAATTAATAAACAAATAAAAATAGAGCTGGAATGGTAACCATTTTTTAACATATGATTTTAAGCCAATTCTATATTAGATTTATTTATTTAAAAAACAGATAAAGTCAATGACATCAGCTTTCTATGACATCAGATATTGTAGAAAAACAAATATTAGATTTCTGTAATTATATATTATGTAGAAAAATTATTAAACGAACAAATAATGCGAAAATAACATACTGCATAAGCGCTCGATGTTATTTTTCAAGCTAAACACCAACCAAATGCCGAAATTCTATCGGGCTAGTCCGATAGAATTTCGGCATTTGTTTTCATTTCATTTCATTGTTTTCATTTTCATTTTGTTTGCATTCGGCATAGAATTTAGCTATAATATGTATCGGTTTAGCGATGTTTTTTATTCTTCAATACATTACACAATAATTTTTAATATTTTGAAGGAGTTGGTAACTTTATATGAAAATATAATTCTTATTTTCTATACATAAAAAATTATGTGTATATAAAGTTTAAAAAGAACTTACCAGCTTCAAAATATGAAATATAGTAAAGAAATTACGGGACAACGGGCCTTAATGCTTAACTTGAAAAAAATATTGAAGTTGAGACCATTATTATGTTATACATTGAAGAGAGGCAAGAATTAAATAAAACCTGTCCTTAAAATGCTCTTAAACTGCCCAGGAGTGAAGTGGGCCTTTATTTAGTTCGATGAATAGTATAAAGTTCAATAACTTTTAAGAAAAAGGTATCCTAACACATTATTGTGCAACGAATAAAATAAATTATAAAAAAAAATTGGTTTAGGTCCCTATCTGTGCCCCAAACCAATTTTTTTATAAGAAAATATTTCCCTCAAAAAATTCTGTCGAAGAAAAATGTCTGGAGTCAACACTGCACATGGGGTCTCCTAAGTTAAATTTGCCTGGGCCCATGAAGCTATAAAGCGCCATGTAGTAATATGTATTTAATATTTTATTAATTATTAAAGCAATATTAAATTTCAGGTATCCGAATAATTATTGTGCCGAAGTTTAGTCGTTCAAAGGCTTATATTTTATAATTACAATCAAAAGTAGGCCTATAGATAAATATTTTGTTTCGTTCAAAAAAATTCCGAATTCGAATCAGCGTAACAATTTAATATTTATTAAGTTTATTTTTATAACAGTTTATCATATTATAATCATAAAAAGTGTCATAATATAATTTACAGAACGATTCATCATATTAACTAATTAGATAAAAGAATTTTCAGGTTTATTTTTATGTACATTAGGCTGTGTGACGAAACTTTCGTTGACTCAAACAATGACTAGAATTTTATCTTTGTTGTAGTTATAAAAATA